TAACTCGAGTTAAGCGTCTATACGCCCCCTTAACTCGAGTTAAGGTAACTCGAGTTACCTTAACTCGAGTTAAGGCCCCGTGTAGACGCTTAACTCAAGTTAGCGAATAGTACATAACTCCACGATAGGCGGCAACACTAGTACGATGTACGTACACACGCACGCACACACTCATGCACGCACGTGTACGTGCATACGCACGCACGCACGCACGAACGTGTACCTGCACACGCGCGCACACGCGTACGCACGCACGCACGTGTACGTACCCACGCACGCAGGCACGCATGTACGCACGTGTACGTGCACACGCACGCATGCACGCACGTGTAGATACACACGCACGCACATGTACGTGCACATGCACGCACGCACGCATGCACGCACGTGTACGTGCACACGCACGCACTCACGCATGCACGCACGTGTACGTGCACACGCACGCACGCACGCATGCACGCATGCACGCACGTGTACGTGCACACGCACGCACGCACGCATGCACGCACGTGTACATGCACACGCACGCACGCACGCACGCATGTACACATGTGTACGTGCATATGCAGGTACGCACGCGCGCATGCACGTGTACATCCAAACGCACGCACACACGTGTACCTGCACACGCACGCACGTACGCACGCACGCATGCACGCAGGTTTACGTGCACACGCACGCACGCACGTATATGTGATTACGCACGCTCGCACGCACGTGTACGTGCACACGCACTCACGTGTACCTGCACACACACGCACGCACGCATGTACGCACGTGTAAGTGCACACGCACGCACGCACGCACGCACGCCCGCACGTATACGTGCACACGCACACACGCACGCACGCTTACATACACACGCACGCACGCACGCACGTATACGTGAACACGCACGCACACACGCACGCACGTTTACATACACACGCACGCACGCATGCACGCACGCATGCACGCACGTTTACATACACACGCACGCACGCATGCATAATAAATCGGTAATAAACGCTATTAGGTGTTGTCGTGTAGACGCTACATAATCGCTAACTCGAGTTAACGCTTAACTCGAGTAAAGCGTCGTCGTGTAGACTCGCATTTCGACATAGAGTGCATAATCTTGCGTAAACAATTCGAAAACGTGATGGTGTGCAAGCGGCATCATTAATGTAATTTAAACTCATTACGCCGATGTCATTGATCCCTCGACACCGGCAATGATCTGCTTTACTTACTATTTTTATCACCATCGTCCTCTGCCAGACTACCATTAATGTCGTCATATGTATGCATGACGGATTCGTTCACAGATGCATAGGCGGAGGTTCAGCTAATGCATGTGCATATGGCCTAAAGATTTTGCTCAAAACCCCGAGATGTGGTTGATTGCTTCTATAAATAATGCACGTTGAATTCATTAAAATAGAGAATGCGCTGCTTTGTCCCGTGCCAGGACGTACGCACGTTGGTGTTGCTGATACAGAATTCATATATGTGACCTACTAATTACATAAAAGCTTCACAGTGGCGAGACATCAAGCTAGCAACACATAGTCCTCAAATACTAACACCGGACTTCTTTCCGAGCTTTTTTTCCAAGCCATCTTGCTGCTTGATTTCACCAACAAATCTCATCTGCAGTTTACCTATCGTTGTCAACATGCATGTTCTCTGACAAAACATTTCTAGCACACACATTTCTCGTTTTGTTTATTTAGGGAGGTGGACAAGTGAGGAAAGTGACGAGGGTGTTATACCTTGTATAATCATGCACTTATTGTCGAAGAAAAGCTACGACGCATATATATTATATAATGTATGTTATTTAATTATGTGATCTAGTGCCAACCATGCATGGGTTTACCAACCGTAAATATTATTATGCACATGGTGTTTTTTAATAACGTAAACGCCGCTGTTGGCGAAAGATGAATGAATTGTCTTTAAAATGATTAAATGAATAGGTGCGCTGACATATTTAGCGAACTATATTCGATTAAATTGTTTCGCATTTATTCTATTACAGTACATGTGGAATTCATGGAAAGTCAGGGAGAATTTATCTATTTGGGAAATTTATGAAATTTATGAAAGCGCTGCGGTCGTTATTATGCATCGTATTATGTTTATATTTCGCGAACCATATAAACCGGAAGAAATGCAATTGATTATCACGTGTGGAGCTGCGTCTAAAAGCACTTACGCGTAATTACTAAATTTCCCCGATCTCTAATTAGAAAATATTCAATCTTAAGTCATAGGATCTTGCTAATTTCGCGCTTCCTACACATGCACATGCGCGTGCACACACAATCATACACGCGCGCGTACACACGTAGACACGTACACGCAAGTGCACACACACACACACACACACACACACACACACACACACACACACACACACACACACACAC